CTATGAGAAAGTGAGTGAGCGAGTGAGTGAGCAAGTGAGTGAGCAAGCGAGTGAGCGAGTGAGGAGCAATTGTGTAAGCAAGTGACGGCGTTACGAGCCAGGAACAGCATGAAACCGATATTCACCCTTAGATGTTAGAGATTTGAGGGCTGATGAAGATTCTCGAGGTATGGAATATTCGATCGTGATGGGGACAGCATTGATACAGTACTATATAGGCATTGCGTGAGACCGGCAATGGCAGCTTTCGATTTTTCATATCTTCGCTAGGGGGCGTTTCCGCAGATTGGTATTGCATCATCATATTCAACACCCATCCCCCGATTAATATGTCAAGTTTGATCAAGATCGGGCGTGGGGGGGATGTTTAAGAATAGCCAAAATTAATATATCTGAACAAGAAATAATACTTATTTTATCCTTATAAGCAGAAGTCTTTTAATGTCTTACTATATTAAATTACAAATTACATAATCAATAGATGTATTTAAAAATAAAATTCCAGCAACTTACCATTGCACTTAAACCATTTGTCATAACTTCTTACAAATAATGTAAAATCCCATTTTATGAAGCTGTATAAAAATTATGTTATATTATAACCAATTTTCGTATTTATATCTCCATTCGTTTAAAATATAAATATTAAGAAATCAGTATTAATATTACGAAATAAATATTAAAAAATACATATTAATGAAATATTAATATTATTACAACACAATTTACTTCCACCAGTTGACATTAGTATATAAAATACATGAATATTAACTACACAGTGCTATTTACAGATTTTGTAAATATTGAGAATGTTGAAAAATAACATTATGAGCAACCGGGATATGGATCTACTCTGTTCTTTCTCAAAATAAACTTAATTTTTCTTTCCATATCTTCATTATAAATAGCTTTACACTTTTCATAGTTAACTCTTCGTCTTGTTTGTGTTGGTTTTTCATAATACCTAGTACGCCTATACTGTGTAAAAATTCCTTCTTGTCCCAATATGTAACTCAATACTCGACTTGCTTTCTCAATATTGTTGTCATGGACCAGAATTGTCCTGGACCAAAATTGAGCATGTCGTGCTATACCCATCTGAAACAAAATATCCAGATAAGTATGACTTTTAATTCATTGTTTTAAATTAAGGCAATTTTATTAATTATTTAAATATTATTTAATTTAATTTAATTATTATTTAATTAAATTAAGAAAATATGATGAGGAATCTGCTATTATTGTATTATTTACTACACTATTATCACATTTTTGTAAGACAAATAATTTTGTATTTAATTTACTATGATTGTACTGTGTGCTATATGAATCATAAAACTACAACGTTATATTAAATTATTCAAATACTGAAAACGACATAACAATAAATAATTATTATTTAAAGTACATTAACCTCTTACACTGGAAATTAATTAGTATAATTGATATATTTCGAAACAATGACGAATATGTAATGCAACAAGACACTTCCAGATAATTTCACTACATTGTTTCGCGCATATCTTGCAGGTTTACGAAGACCTTTCTTTATGAAGTATAGGTGGAATTTTTCTTAGAAAATGTACTAATTGTGCGCTCAAATATTTCGACATTATAATGTCTACTTACTTATTATAAACAATAAATTCAGTAGATGTGCTTAGCATGTCATTGCAATTTTAGAAGTAGATAACAAGCGATTGGCGTAGCACATTCTTCCAGTGCGAGAGGTTAAAGCATATTTCTATAGGTTCTACTTTATATCTGTATTTAATGAACAACGCAATTAAACATTACTACATTTAGAGGTTAAATATTTTTTAGAAACCGAATATAAATAATTCAATAATTTCTTATGCTCATAATTAAAATTAATGAACACATTGATGCAGATATATTGCAATACCTTTTATTTTTATTGTATATGTATATAACAGTTCGAATATCCACAGAAATTAAAGAAAACAACACCGCAAACCTAATCTGACAGTGACTATAGATATAACAAGAGTGGACATGCCTTCGTCACAGAGTGCCATAGAGTCTGCACCTTTGATCTTGTTGCGTTTACCGTCCGCGGTCTAGGGATTTTGGGATGTGGGTAAGTTAACCCGTGGAGCGCTGAGCGCTCTGCTCGCGGTGTGTAGAAATGATTCGAAACAGATTTAAGATGGAAAACGACTAAGTCCAACTATTTATTCAGATAATTGTCAAAGTACTTTTTATAAGAGCGAACTGGAGCGTATGAAATACAAAATTAGTCTGATCGTTCTGCGCTTGGCGGAGGAGATCTTCGGGTGATGCAGATCGATGCCCTTTCCTCGCTGGATCCTGGATCCTCCCTCAGGATCATCCCTTGTCCAATGGTGGAGGAGTCCACCCCCGTCCGATGTGGGCCCCTTCTCCTGGCTGTGGTCCACCCTCAGCCGCGTGGTGGTGGAGGCTCCGCCAAGACGCGGGAACGTAACATTGAACATGTGCTTAGAGAAAGCGTGGGACCCAGAGAAACGCGAAAACAAAGTCCTTGTACTGGGCGAAAATTTACGACCCTCTTCGAGTGCATGAAAAGACATTCGTAGGAGAACTCGAAGCTTTCCAGAACCGAACGCGACTTAGTCAAAAACAACGAATTCGATACGGTCCCTAATAAATTAATCTCTACAAACATTCAAAGTGAAGCTACGTTTATTCTCTGGATTCCCAAACTTTCCCAAGCATGAACACCCACGTCGAGTGGCTTTAACAATATAAGCTTTGTCTATTGTACATGATCGCACGCTCAGATAGTTTAAATTTCGCTCTTAATTTATGGTCATCGATATAACAAAGTACAGATGCGCTCTGTAAATATTCTCACGGTCGTGTCGCCATACTACACTGACTATATTCAGGATGATAACAAGTACTTACGCTCGCGTTACACCTCCCCCCTTATTTAAAAAGGTGTTTTCATAAAACAACTTTTCTATATCCATACGCCTTAATAGTAGTTGCATATACAATATTAACATTATGTGGTGCTTTTCTCATACAAGGTTCATACAAAAGGTGAGCAAACAGTTAAGTCTATTTAACATCCAAGGTATCTTATTACATACGTGTCACAAATACGAGCAACGAGATGCTTAACAGTCTCCAATTATCATACAAGTTGCAACGAACATAACCATACTAGTTTAAGCAGATCCGTGTACATAGTGACAGAGTCTAGAGTCTAGACTATATTTAGCAGTATTTCAATTACGCGAATACAATATGAGCACATGTGTACAAAGATATGAACGGAGTAGCAAACTTTATTAATTTAATCTGAATTTCCGTCAGTGATAACCTCTGGTCTAATATGCGCTAATTTGAGTTTGTTTGCATGAACAATCTTAAATTTATTTTTCCCTATTTCTAATTCCATAGTTAAATCATCAAACTTCCGATTTATTTTGTAAGGACCAAGCCAATCACAGTCAAATTTTGAGGTTCGAGGTTCTTTGAGTAGATATACAAGATCGTTTATTTCGAACGTGCGCGGATTAAGCGTTTGGTCATAATAAGCTTTGCTTCTCTGTTTTGCTTTTTCCAGATTTTGTGCAGCGATGGTCTGTGTGGTGGTGATTCTGGCGAGAAGATCATCAAAATATTGTACGAATGTTCGAGATGCTGGTCTCGTGGCAAATTCCGAGGGTATGTTGGCCTTGGTGCCAAAGACTAATTCGTGTGGAGAGAACCCAGTGGCTTCATGCACTGAGGTGTTATACGAAAAGATGCAGAACCTCACCCAGTCATCCCAGTCTGTTTTCGTGCAATATATCTTTAGGTAATTAATAAGACTGCGATGTGCCCTTTCGAGCGAACCTAATGATTGGGGATGAAACGCTGTGGAAGTTATAGTTTGGATTTTGAAGATTTTACAGAAGTGTTTCATTATACGACTAACGAAGTTTCTTCCCTGATCTGTGTGTATTACTCTTGGGCAACCAAATCTACTGATAAATTGCTCAGCAAGTGCAAGGGCAATCGTTACTGCATCCATGGATTTTATGGGAATTGCATCTGAATATTTCGTAAGGTTGTCCTGTATAGTAAGCAGATATTGATTTCCTTTGGAAGTTCTGGGTAAGGGTCCTACAATATCCATCTGCACCTTCTCAAAGGCTCTTTGTGGTGTATCAGCGATTTGCATAGGTTGTCAGGTTTTTGCACAATAATTTTTATTTCTTTGGCAGGTTGAACAGGATCGGACAAATTCCATGATTTCTTTTGCCATGCCTAGCCAATAAAATCGTTGCCGGAGGAGCTGGAGTAATTTAAAGATACCTCTGTGGCCTCCAACCACAGATTCATGGTATTCTTGGATAATACGAAGACGACTCGACTCAGGTGGGATAATAACTTCTTCGGTGCACACGGTGATTCTATATTTCGGGTCAGCAAAGGTTTGTTTCAGTAGGTTTATTACGCTATTTCGCTCGTTTAAATTTATTTTTTCATAATTCCAATTCCGCTGTTAAATCATTAAACATTCTATTTATTCTATAAGGGCCTATCCAATCACAATCAAATTTCGAAATTCTGGGCTCTTTAAGCAGATATACAACATCATCTACATTAAATTTACACGGATTAAGCGTTCTATCATAATAATTTTTGCTCCTTTGCTTTGCTTTTTCCAGATTACAAGCTGCAGTAGACTGTGTGGTGGTAATTTTATTCCAGATTACGAGCTGCAGTAGACTGTGTGGTGGTAATTTTAGTAAAGAGTTCATCAAAATGCTGTGTAAAGGTTCTAGGTGCTTGCCCCTTGGCAAATTCAGAAGGTATGTTGGCCTTAACGCCAAAAACCAATTCATGAGGAGTAAAGCCTGTAGCCTCATGTACAGAGGTATTATATGAGAAGATACAAAATCTTATCCAATCATCCCAATTCCTTTCGGTGCAATAATGCTTAAGGTAATTAATGAAACTTCGGTGTGCCCTTTCTAGAGAACCTAGCGACTGTGGATGGAAAGCTGTAGAAGTTATTCTTTGTATCTTGAAAATCCTACAAAAATTCTTCATCACTTGACTGGTAAAATTCCTCCCCTGGTCAGTGTGAATTACTCGTGGGCAACCGAACCTACTGATGAATTGCTCGGCAAGTGCATGAGCAACTGTTACCGTGTCTATAGTTCCTATGGGTATTGCATCAGAATACTTTGTAAGATTATCCTGTATAGTGAGTAAATACTGATTGCCTTTATTAGTTACAGGAAGTGGTCCAACTATGTCCATTTGAACCTTTTCAAAAGCCTTTCGAGGAGTATCCGTAATTAACATCGGCTGTTTGATTTTTGTGGAATAATTCTTATTCTTTTGGCAACTTGGACAGGATCGAACGAACTCTGCTATTTCCTTCGCCATGCCTGGCCAATAGAAACGTTCACGAATAAGCTGATACAATTTGTAACTTCCTCTATGGCCTCCTACTACCGAATCATGATATTCTTGGATAATCTGCGATCGTCTTGACCTTAGCGGGACTTCAACCTCACCAGCACACAAAGTAATTACGTATTCTGAGTTATTGAAAATTTGCTTGAGTAATCCCGTGATATCATTCCGCTCAGAAGCATTAAACCTATCTGAATCTACTAAAAGACTGAAGGTTTTAGAACCCAAAGTGTCGAGAAGTGTTTTTAACGATTTTAAAGATGATTCGACATGGCTAAAATCTAATTCATCCTGAGGTTCGATTTTGTAAAACAATAGGTAGACAGAATATTTATCATGCGGGAAAACCATGGCATCGCCAAGCTCAATGTGATATTGCTGCATCTGATCCGACGAAAACCCAATTCGACTTAGTAATCCCACAGTGGTCTGAGAAGTATCATTACAACTTAAGGGAATAAAATGAACAAGGTTGTCTTGACGCATAAAAAGATTATCTTCTACATTAAATATAGCAGGTAAGGAGGAATTGGATACCGTAGATCTATCTATTTCATTATCCACATTACCGATCAAAACTTTACTTTGACTATCAGTCTTACTATTTACATTATCAGAATTTACCACTGCCCCTTGTTTCTTTCCAGAAATTTCTACCGAGGTCACTACCCCCCTAGGATGCCCTGTGCAAGCTTGCCCACGCTCAATTGCAACTACCTTGCCCGACTCTACCGGTCTTATTTGTGAAACAGCATACTCCTTGAAACAGGTAACGTGTAAGCACGTATCCACGCACGCTAGGCATTGCTCGGAAGAAGCGCGTAAATGCACACTAGACAATCCGACATAGCGCGAATCGTGGCGCACTGAGCAATTTAATAGCTCATCTGACTCCACAAAACAAGCATCGTGTAAGCGCGTACCCACGCACGCTGGACTTTGCTCGGGAGAAGCGCGTAAATCCACGCTAGTCAACCCGGCATAGCGCGAATCGTGGCGCACTGGGCAAGTTACCGCTGCCTTTATATCCTCAAAACCACGCCACACTGGGCAATTCCATGTTCTTTCCAAATCCACAAAACCGCGCCGCACCCGCATGTAACTTCTGGGGTGGAATTTCACGGCCGGCCCAGCATACTCAGCTGTGACCTCATCACTCACCCACCCGATTCTACCGATCGAGGTGGGGGTGGTAACACAACACTCACCCGAATCTACCGTTCGAGGTGACAACAACATTTCACTTCCACGGGGATCATACCCCTGCGATGGCACAAGCTGCACCTCAAGCCCGAAGGTTTCTTGAGTGGGTAATCCTATACTAGTTTTACATGAACTTCCTGATGACAACGTTTCCAAATTCAAATTCTTTTGCATTCTACTAGTGACCTCGTTTTGCTCAGCTGCTGCCTTCCTGCGCGCTAGGAATGCAGTAGCCACAAGTAACTCATTTTCGACAAACAGCATTTCATCCATTCCGGCCGTTTCAGAACCTGCAATTGGTATCTCATCTGCGCAAATGAGCACCCCTTCCAGACCCCGTGAACCGGAATTAGAATCCATGCTAGACCTTACGGTTTGTGATTGAGGATTAGGACTGGGATTAGCGTTGACCGGATTTCGTGAGAGAGCGTCCGCGTTGGCATCAACCCTTCCAGGTTTGTAAACCACAGTGTAATCATATTCATTTAATCTAATGCGCCACCTCATTATTTTAGATGCAGGATTCTTAACATTGTGTAACCACACTAAAGGTCTATGATCCGTAATCAACATAAACTGCCGACCATACAAGTAAGGTCTAAAATGTTCGACCACAAATAGAATTGCTAATAATTCCTTCTCTATAGTTGAATAATTAATCTCTGCATCATTTAGAACCCTCGAAGCATACGCGACTGGAAGATCTTTCCCAATTGGTCCTTGACTAAGAATGGCATCTACGGCAAAATCAGAGGCGTCGGTAGTGACGAGAAACGGTTGCGAAAAGCTCGGAAATTGCAGCAAAGGCTCTGAGCAGATGATATCCCTCAGAGTTTCTGAAAAGGTAATAAAAAGGCGGATGCAATATATAGACAAGAATATATATTTAAACACAAAACTCAAGATAACCCAATTACTTTTACGCGCAATCCTTACGCATGTACCCAGCAGAGAGAAGTGCGAATCGCTCGCTCTCGTCCTCACGCGATCCTGTTCCCCCACCATCACACAAGGAACAAAGGAATAAAGGAATACAGATGTACTATATTAACACGCCTCCTTACATCTGTATTTCGCACTCTAATTCTATAAACATACTTTTACAATATTGGAATTATTTTGCATACTCTCGTCAAATTTACTTTATGTTCAACAAGTTCCTAAACTTTTCAAATTTTTCTTTACAAATCGCCTTAGTAAACACATCCGCAATATTATCGGTAGAATCTATTTTAATTATCTCAATCATTCCATCTTTTACACACTCATGCACAAAATGATAATGAATTTCGATATGCTTCGAATTCTTTGTATAATTTCCAAACTTTGCTATATTTATCGCACTTGAATTGTCCTCATAAATCTTCACCGGTTCTTTTATACTTATACCGAAAATATTTATCAACTCTTTAATATATTTTAACTCGCTTACGACCTCTGATAGCGCTACGTATTCTGCATATGTAGATGCTTTTGTCACGCATTTCTGTTTCCTCGATTTCCAGTCAATTACATTTCCATACATTTTTATAACATATCCGGACGTAGACTTTCTATCCAAAATATCTCCCGCCCAGTCAGCATCTACATAACAGTCCAAAATCTCACAGTTTTCATTCTTTCCATAACGCAACTTCAAATTTCTAGTTAAATACAGGTATTTTAATATTCGTAACGCATATCTAAAATGTGACTCGCTATAACAGTTCTGAAATCTACTCAAATAATTAACGCTATAACTTACATCAGGTCTCGTACTCGCACTTATATACAACAAAGCACCAATCAAGTTTCTATACTTAATGTCTACTTCACATAATTCAGCCTTTTCAATCTTTAGATTTATTTCCATAGGTGTATTATATAGTTTACTGTCTTGTATTCTATATTTCTCTGCTAACGCCTCAATATATTTTGTTTGACTTAGATTCATTTCACTTTTGTGGTAATCATATTCTATCTCAATACCAAGATATTCACTTATTCTACCTAGGTCCTTCATTTTAAATCTATCTGACAGGAGTTTTTTAACACTTTGTATTTTCCCTTCACTTTTACTGCAAATTAATAAGTCATCAACGTAAATTAGTAAATATATTATTTCGTCCCCTACTCCCTTTTTATATAAACAAAGATCTACTTTACTTCTTTCAAACCCTAACTTAATCATGCACTCATCGAAACACTCATACCAGTCTCTAGGACTTTCCTTTAAACCATATAATGCTTTCATTAATTTATACACCCGTTTTGTACCATCTTCAAAGCCTTTAGGTTGATTGACATATACCTCCGTGTTAATCTTTCCATTCAAGAAAGCAGTTTCTACATCCATTTGTTCAATTTGCAAATCATTTTGGCAACAATAAAAAAACAAAATTTTTAACGTCTGATTTTTTGCAACTGGAGCGTATATGTCATCAATAACATCTGTTTGTTGGAAACCTTTCACGACTA